GGTGGGCTGGGCGGGCTGTGGGGATTGAGTGTCGGTCGGGCATCCTGGTCCCAGCACGTGCTGTGGGCTCTGGCCACACGGGGACTTTCCCAGCTGGCTGTGGGTGCTCGGCCACCCTGGAAAAACACCGACAGCTTTCTCTCAGGAAAGGGGCGGCGGGCGGCGGGCAGAGGAAGGGCCTGCCCGGGCCGGAGGCCAGGGCTGTGGGCATCAGCTTTGGGGGCCCTCGCAGTTCCCCTATTCGCACCCTCTGGCCCTCACTAAGCCCAGCAGTTGCCCGCAGTCCTGCCGAAGCCGCCCACCTCCCTCCAGCGTGCCGTCCCTTCTCCGGTGCTTAGAACCGACTGGCAGAGTTTCTGCGGAAAACAGTTTGGTGGTTCCCCAAAAAGCTAAACAAACTCCCGTGTGACCCAGCAATTCCACTCTGAGGTCCATGCCCCAAAGAACTGAACACAGGGACTCAGCAAAAGCATGCCCACTCGTGTTCACAGCGGCTCTATTCACAGCGGCCGAAAGGCGGAAGCAGCCCGAGGCCCAGCGGGGAGAAGCAGACGAGCGTGAGAATGCGGTCTCTCCGGGCCGTGGGATCATTCGGCCTTAACAAGGACGGAGGGACAGACAGACACCCGCTCAGCGCGCATGACCCCTGAGGNTGGGGAGAAGCGTGTGAATGCGGTCTCTCCGGGCCGTGGGATCATTCGGCCTTAACAAGGACGGAGGGACAGACAGACACCCGCTCAGCGCGCATGACCCCTGAGGACGGTGCGCGCAGTGAGGGAAGCCAGGCGCCCCGCGCCCGGTGCCCTGCGACCTGTCCCTGTGAGACGCCCGGCGCGGGGACGCCACAGGGACCGAGGCGGCCTCGCGCTTGATGGGGCTGTGGGAGGGGCGGGAGTGCCCGCTGAGGGCGCGGCTGCCAACGCCCTGGACTCCGCGGAGGGGCTGGTTGCAGCGACGTTGTGAACGTGTAAATGCCACGGACTGCACGCTTCGAAACGTCAGACTGCGTGTTAGGCGAACTTCACTTCCTCCGAGAGACCGAGCCTGGCGGGTGCCCTCCCGTTTCGGCCCTGGCTCCCGGAGGGTGCCGGGTGAGTGATTACAGGGCACCCTCAGGGGCTGCTCCGAGCTCCCCATGTGGGAAAGCACCCTGCCCCGGCCCGGCACACAGTAGGTGCTCAGCTCATCTTGGCTCCCGTTTCCCCCTCTGAGGGCACCCGGTCATCTGGAAATGCCACAGCTGTCCCCCAGGCGTGCAGCCTTCCCCCGGCTGTCCTGGCAGTCCGTGTGGTGGTGGTGATCGGGGGACAGATGTCTTCTACCCCCGTTTCATGGACGTGAAAACAGAGGCCCCGAGGAGCACAGTGCCCTCCCGAGTCACACAGGCTGCAGCCGGAGCCAGGATGCAGTCAGTGGGCTTGGCTTGTGGCCCAGCCCCCCGGGAGCCAGGTCTGCAGTGACGGGGAGCCCCAGTCGGGAGCTGGGGGTTTGCTGCTGTGGGCAGCCGCGTACGGACCCGAGTTGGTGGTTGTCAAACCCCAGTGTCNACCCGAGTTGATGGTTGTCAAACCCCAGTGTCGGTGTAGCTGCTTCAGAGGCATGGGTCTCACATTCTGTGGGACCCTTGATTTGTGGGACTTGTGATTCCATGTCTTGCAGTGTCGTGGCTCTTGCGATCTGGAGGTTGAGAGGGCATGTGGATGGGTGTCAGTGGAAAGCGGCCCCTTGGGGCCGGGCCTGGCCAGCGGCTCACCTCATCTTGTCCTTTCCCGGTCCGCAGAGCGCTGTCGTCCGTCGTGGCCCTAGGAGCCAACATCATCTGCAACAAGATCCCTGGTTTGGCCCCGCGGCAGCGTGCCATCTGCCAGAGCCGGCCCGATGCCATCATCGTGATTGGGGAGGGGGCGCAGATGGGCCTCAACGAGTGCCAGTACCAGTTCCGCTTTGGGCGCTGGAACTGCTCCGCCCTCGGGGAGAAGACCGTGTTTGGGCAAGAGCTCCGAGTAGGTAAGGGCACCTCTGGGCTCTCAGGGACCCCGCCATCCCAGCTTTGGGTGCCGGGGACCAGGCCGCCTGCTAGCCCCGTGAAGGTCAGGTCAGGCCAGGCCAGGCGCCCCTCTGACCAATTTCTTTCCCCACGTCCTTCTCCATGCCTGGCCTGGGTGGGGACTGGGACCCCAGGGGGACCCAGACCTGGCCTGGGCCCCGGGGACACTGCCACGTCGGGGAGGAGGGAAGCTGTGATGGGAGTCAGCCTGTGCGGTGGGTGAGGGTCCTCACTCTGGGCTGTGGGCCTGGGGACGCCGTCCTGTCCTAGACGTGAGCCAGGCAGGCTGTAGGTGGGCAGTGCAGTGCAATGGTTAGAGGCGTTCCCTGCTGCTGAGCTGCTGTGTGTGCCCAGGACCTCCAATCCCCCCCCCCGTCGCCCTCACTTGCACTGCTGTACCTGGAGATGGGATGACAGCCGCAGATTCCACATGGGGCTGCTGGGGGGCTGGACGCGATGGTGCCCAGCCCGTGGGAGCTGTTGTGTAAATGTCATGGTCCCAAGAGTGAAGGGGTTCCAGGCAGAGGGAACACGTGAGCATGTGTACACGGATGCTGTGGCATGACTTGTGTGGGAACGCGAGAGTCCGGCGGCTGGAGGGCAGGTGGTGGGGTGTGCAGGTGGAGTCCGGCTGGAGGTGGGGTGCTCCTCCAATCCCATGGACAGTCGCAGCTGCTGTAGGACATGAGGCGGGGTGGAAGGATCTCTGCTGGCTGTGCCCCCTGCGCCGTGCATGGTTCCCGGGCCACACACCATGTCTCCATGTCCTTATAGCCCTGGGGAGGCTCCACTGCGCCCATTTTACAGGCAGGGAGACTGAGGCCCAAGAGGGGCTTAGAGGGAACAGTGTGGCTTCCAGTGTCTTACCTGGACTTGAATCCAGCTGTGTGGTCTCATGCCACTCGGGGCTGCTCGGGGCATCAGTTTCCTTATTTGTAAAATGAGCTCTGAGCGAGCAGGCCCTCGGATGGGCCCCGGAGCCTCTCCTAGGGTCTGCGCACAGTTGGTGCTCAGTAAACTGCTGCTGAGTGAGGGTGGGAAGAGTCAGTCACAGAGCCTGCCCCCCAGGCCACTGTGAGGGTCAGAGGGGGAGAGTGGTAACTCAGGAGTGCAGACCCCAGCCTGTAGGCACAGGTGGGCCTCCGAGCCTGTGGGCACAGCATGTCTTTCCGGCCCCTGAGAGCCAAGGAGCCACAGCTGCTGGGACCCGGGCCAGAGCCAGAGCTCTGCAGGGCTTGGAACGCCTGGCATGGGGCTGGGGTGGCGCGGGGGAAAGCCCCCAGGGGCCCCTTTGCGGTGAGCAGCCTGTGGGTGGCACCTGGCTCAGCAGGGAAGGTGGCCCCACCCCTCCCTGGGGCCCCACCACCCAAGTACAGCTCCTCTCTCCAGGTGCCAGCTGGGGAGCTGGGGCTGCCCGCCCATCCAGCACAGCGCCAGGTGCCCACTTGACTGCCTGGCCCCTCACCCTGGAGACTCTGGGCTCCGAGGCAGCTGTGAGCATCCCCACTGCACAGCTGAGGAGGCCGAGGCCCAGGGCCGTTTTGAGGTTGCCTTTGGCCGCAGGGTTTCCACGTGGCTGAGCTGGGTTCAGATCTGGTCTCCTCTGGAAATCCTCGGTGCCTCGCTGTGTAGACAGGCCCAGGGCCCGACAGAGGGCTGGGACCTGGGGCTTTATGTGAGATCACGAGACAGGGTGAGAGGGAGGCTACGCTGAGCCTCTCCTTGGGGTCGGGCCCAGGCAGGGGGCTTTGCAATCAGAGCCCCAGTAGATGCCGGGTCCTACGCACTGGTTAAAGCCTGGAGTGGTGTTGGCCTGCACCAGTGACCTGCCCCCACAGGGGACACTGTCAGTGTCCATCCAGGTCACCTTTGCTGAGCATCATGCCGCCTCCGGGGGCTGTGAGGGTCGTGGCTATCAGCTCACCCTGGTCTTTCTTAGAGACCAGTCCTCAGCCCAACAGGAGTCGGGGGTGGGGGGGTCTGAAGCTCTGCCCGCAGGGAGGGGCGGCCACAGCCAAGGATGGACTGAGGCGGGGTGGGGGTGGGGGCCAGTAATAAGGTCCCCTCCTGCCTCCAGGCGGGGCTGCTCTGGGTGCTCTTCATGCCCTGAGCTCCCTCAGCATCAGACGTCTCAGGCTCTGCTCCTGGGGAGCCCACCTAAGAGACCCCCCCACTTTGATGAGCATTTCAGAGGCCAACTTTGGCAGAGCTGTCTGTACCCACTGTCCCCATCCCTCGCTGCTCTGCTCCCTCCTGCAGTAGCTAGGCCACCAGAGGCCTCCGCGTGGCCGTGTGGCCGAGTGGCCTCTCTTCCGTGGCTGGTCTTCCTCATGTGTCTCTGGCTGCCCTTCTTGGCCCCTCTCCAATCTGCTCTTCCAGAGCCAAGACCAGCACGGCCGCTCCCTGTGGATGGCTCAGCAAGCTGACCCACGGGAACCTCCGGCTCAACACGCCAGCATCCTGCTGCTTAAACCTCCCATGCCCAGCCTTCCTCCCTCACCCCACCCCCTGGCCTGACCGCCCGGTTGTCTCTGCGATAACCTGGTGCTACTCACTGTCCACCTCTGTGCTCCAGCCCCTGGCCACTGCAGGGCTTACCTCTCTGGTCCTCCCCTGGCAGCTCTCAGTACCTTCTCCTGCTTCCCACCTAGTCCCAGCCATGCCCTTCCTCCAAAACCTGCAGTAGCTCCCTATTGCCCAGGATAAAGGTAACTCCTCAGCTTGGAGTCTAAGTAGCTACTGCCTTATGTCACTCCTGCTACCCTCCCTCTGGAAACCAGGGCTTCAGCTGTAGCTGGCACCCTCCTCTGTTCTGAGAACACCAGGCCCCTTCCCTCCTCTGGGACTTTGCTCCTGGGAGGCCCTTTCCCTCTACTCTGCTGATTCACGTCTGACTTCCTGAGGGGGATGCCCGGCCCTTCCTTGTCCACAGCCAGGCCACAGTCACATCCTCGTCTCAGCCCATCTACCTAGTCTCAGCCGCAAGTCAGCTCAGCACCTGCCCCGAGCCATCCCTGCCCCTGCCCGGGCTGGGTGAGTTCTCCACGCTCAGGCCAAGGTCCCCTGCTGACCACCACCGTCACCCAGGAGGGCTCTGGCCACTGCTGGAACAGAGCTGCTTTCTGCAGGCAGCAGGTGTCCCCGCTGGGTGCTACGATGGTCATCGGGGCAAGCACCTTGCTCCTCCCAGGGCTCGGCCTGGGAGCTGGGAGTCACGAGCAGGAAGTGGGTCCGAGCGGCGAGGCCAGTCCTTGTCAGAGGCATGCGGGTGCTCTGGGCACAGGATGGGAGCCGGGCCATGAGCTGGCAGGCAGCCGGGGGCACTTGTGGAAGCAGCCACTCAAGCGGTGACAATTAATGATTGGCCCCGAGAGGGGGAATGGCCTGGGTGGGTGGGACAGCCCCCTTCAGGCCTTGCCTGTGACCTTGGGCCATGCCTAAATCTTGGGAGCTGAAGGGAAACCCCTTAAAGGGCCACATCAGCCCCTGTGCAAAGTTACAATCCCTGTTCTAGCACCTGGTGCTGTTGCTTCCATGCCTCCAGGGATGGGGAGCTCACTACTCCATATCAGCCAGATCTTCCTTGTGCTGACCCTGTAGCTGGCTTTGCCCTGGGGCTCTCCAGGTGCCAGCTGCTCTCTCCCTTCAGGGAGTGAGGCCAACACTAGCTCCCTCCACTTGCAAGGTTTGCCCTCATGCCTGGTGGCTTCCACCCTCTGGCAACCGAGCCTGCCCCAGGCCTGTTTCCTCATCTATTGAATGAGGCTTGTGGCCAAGGCCCCTCCTGGCCTGTCTTCTACTAACTGAAAATGAGCTTGTGTGGGGGTGTTAATATGTCCCCAACTCAACTGTCTTATGCCATGAGTTGGAGGGGGAGGGACAGGGAGGGAGACCAAAGTTGGGGGTGAAGCTTATATTCCAAGGATGCCTGTTAGAAACTCAAGGACCCCGGGGGCCCCACGAGGGACAGGCCATTTCTAACGGGTCTCGTATTTGATTTGGGACTGTTGCTGGGGCTTCCTGGCCAGGGTGACAGGTAAGCTGAGACCCGAGGGAGGATCAGAGTGATTCAGACCTGCCTGGAGGGGTGAGCCCAGGGAAGGGAGCTCCAGGTGGAGGGAACAGCATGCACCAAGCCCAGAGGCCAGAGAGTAGATGGTATTTTCCAGGAACTGTGGGAACATCGAGGGTGAACCGGAGGGTGCATGGACCTGAGGCTGGAGGAGGGGGCAGGGCTGGAGCGCTGTGAACCTGGGGCGTGAGCTCTGTGTGTGCTGGCCTGGACGGCACGGGAGGAGGGCCCCACCCCCACCCCCGCTGGAGCCCTCGGGACCCCCCTGCACAGGCTCCGACCCCGACCCGAGCGGCCACGGAACACTGAGTCCTGCCCATCATGTGGCACTCAGACATGACCAGGCATAGGGGCCGCCCCTAATCCTGGCTCACGTGGCCGCCCCGGGCCGCCGTCTCCGTCCCATTTGCTTTGTGGGTGAGATTTGTGCTGGGAGCCAGCCTTGAGCCCACCCACCACACGCAGTAGGGGCGCAGCGAAGGCCGTTAGTTCCTGGACAGCCCGAATGAGCAGTGACTCACCAACCTGTCTGAGAGGCAAGGACCCTGGAAAGGGGAGGGTGACCCCATGAAAGGGGAGGGTGACCCCCATGAGCCTAATGAGCATGGGGCCCCTGTCTGGGGTCCCCAGGAGGGCCAAGGGCTCAAGGGCTGCATGGTCCATTCCAGGGCCACAAGCCATTGCTGGCCTGGAGCACTTGGACACGGCACGTGCAAACTTAAATGTGCCAAGGGTAAGGGACACAACAGATTTCGAAGACTTTGATAGAAAAGAAAGCAAGTGAAGTATCTCCTTAATAATCTCCCCATTGCTTCCATGCTGAAATTGGCTAAACTCGCTACAGGATGAAGTTCCCCCGGTTATTTCACTTTCTGTGGCTGCTA